GTCGGTGACTCGCTTCCAGCCGACGAATTGGTCAGATGTATAAAGACCAGGCTCGCCACCGAAAGCAGATGTGTTGGGGGCAATCATCGTACACTCGGCCACAATCAGACCAGCGGATGCTCGCTGCGCGTAGTATTCCGCCATGAGCGCATTGGGAACGTGCGTCGAACCAGCACGAGTGCGCGTGAGGGGGGCCATGAAGATGCGGTTAGCCAGGGCATTGGAGCCTACTTGGATGGGTGTAAAGAGGGTGGTCGTGGGGTTTGGCATCGAGGACGAATCTTTTGCAATGATTCGAAACGAAACGACGCAATAAGAACTCAGGAAAGGAGTTTCCACGGAATGACCTTCCTTTGGATGTCGTTTCAGGCTTCAGCCAATCAAACCTCGCGAGGTTGGGGACGTCAGCTTGGGCCGTTCGGAACGCTGTCTAAAACACATGATTGGGATGATGAAGTCATGCAGTTGATATCGTCATCAGTAGGGATCACCGCAGATATGTATGTTTGTGAGGATAGTTGAGGCAAGCATGACGACATTATTGAAGAACTCGTAGTATCATCGTACAGCAACATGTATTGTGTATTCACCTAATTTGGACTTGTGAGTCGTGTCACCAAATTTGCATCGAATCCATTTGATCCAATTTTAAGGTTTTACAAACTATACTATTCAAAGATTAGTATATATGTGCAGGTCTTACAGTAGTATCTTCTGGGTACTGTATTGCCGAAGCATACAAACTGTAAATACAGTCGAGATAGCATACAACCACAAATCTAACGAGCCCCTCCATCTTGAAGTTCTTGATGACCATGTAGTACTTATTGTCAAATCGCTTCGAATCTAGAGCCCTCAGCAGAATCGATTGTCTTTTTAGTACTGTTAATAAGCGAACATAATAAAGAGCAGCCTAAGCCAATCAAATCACGTTCTGTCGAATTTCTGCCAATCCAAACGATCGATTCGACCCAGACCTATAAGTGATAAAATAAATGAAACATCTATTCCATAGGCATAGATACCAAATCATACGATGCACACATGTGAAAGAGCCCAATGTATGCGTTACCACAGGTTTTCTCACCAGTCCAATCAATGCGCCTGAATCCGACCAATAATAATTTCGATGATGCTACCAAGCGTCCCATCCCTAGACAGCGCCGCCGTGGCGGTGCACCAAGATGCGTCAAAAGGTCGGTACGTTGTCGCCACCACAACGTACCAGGCCGGGGACATTGTGTTCCAGGACCAAGCGTTTGTCTATGCCAGTTGCAGCGGCGAGCACCTGTTGAACGGGGCACGCAACCCGCCGACGATGGCCACCCTGCTCGACCCAGCATGCGACACAGTTGACGAGTTCCACCCGAGCATGCATCGGCTGTTTGGCAGTCTTCTTGCGACCATGCGCAGTCTGGACGTCATTGGTGAAGTGGACCGAGCCAAATGCATCTTGAAATGTGTCACCAAGGTGGGTGGGAACAGTACACGCCAAGAAGGCTACACCTACCTTGCTCGCATGTATTGAATGCTAAAGTGTGTGTATTTGTGTTTGTGTTGCTTTGCAACAAACTAGTTTCTACAGCATCCCGCGTCTCTCAATGACATGCTGTCGTTGTCGGCGGCGACGGCGAACGCTCCTGCTTGTGTCGACACGGCCCAGAAATTGCTGCAGAAATTTCCCGCCGTGTTTACCCAAGTGACCGTGCCAGTGCTGTCCAAGATCATTGGGATACTCAACACAAACTCGCACGAGTTGGAGGCCGTCGTCGGTGGCGGCACCGGGTTGTTCTTGTCAGCGTGCTTAATGGAGCACAACTGCTTTGCCAATTGCAGGTACATATATATGTATATAAATATGTAATATATTTGTCATATCGACCATATCGTTGAAGTGTTGGTACATTTATATACATGCATTATATATATGTAATATATATATGTAATATATGTCGACCATATCGTTCAAGTATTGGATCAACTGTAGCTTTACAACCAAGAACAACACGTTGTGGGTCACAGCCGTGCGACCAATCCAAGTGAACGAACCGTTGTCCATCGATTATGGCAACTTATTCTACCGCCCTCTCCACGAACGCCAACAACATTTGCAGCAAGGGTACTAATATATATATATATATTGTGCTTCAAGCCTAAACTATGGATTTTGTGCTGATATGATTCATCAAATCTGCCGATCAACGTTTTGTCCTGAATTCTGTGTGTAAAAAACCGCCCAGTGTCACACTCATTATATAAGTCATATCCTAATTCCATATTAAATGATGAGACAATTTGATTGGCCACTTGACTCGTATTCCCGGTTTTGATTGGTCGATCGATGGTCAGCTTATTTGATTGAACACCACACTCCAATTTCGAATCGAATTGACAATATAGATATATATAGATATATTTGACAATGGAGTAGATATGGATTTACCTGTGTGTGTCAAGCTTGTACTGAATTCCCAGACAAGACACGATCGTACCAGTGTCGACTCGACGGCTGCCCTGGCATTGTTCACCCATTTCCAGCGACTCCCGTGGAAGTCTACCGATGCACGACATGCCATCAAGTATGCGATGTTATCAATATATATATATTTATTTATTTGATTTTTCAATGCAATCGTATATATGTAGGCATGGTCGTCGGCGCAAGCCAAAGCAATTGCAGCGATGGAACTCGAGTTACAAGCCAATATCCCTACTACTTACCACGACATTCTTCGCATCGAAGCGTCGACACCCTTTCATCGCTTCCATTACGTGTTGTTCTGGGCATTGGACAACATGGGACTCAAGGGGGCTCAAGGTAACCTATATATATATGAAATATGAAAACCCTCCTATCTTCGTGGAATGGTTGTGAATAATACTTGATATTGTTCAAATACAGGCTTAGCACACGACGAAAACACGCTGGGGGCGATGTGGAGCGATTTGATTTCAGGCATCGAGTACGTCGTGCCATATGCGACCCACGAAAAGATAATTTATTACGACCAGTTGGCCCAGGTAAATATATATATATATATATATATATCATTTGGGTTGAGAAAAATAGTTTTATTCATGGTTGGTATGCAACAGATCCAAGTCATTACGGGTGATATTCCAGGCGCAGTGGAAGCGTATGAGATTGCATATGGCATCTCGTGCGTCGTGAGTGGGGCCACGACACCCCCGACATTGGCACTCAAGGAACTGATGGCCCATCCGCCGCGAAATCGATCAGAATTGATTGCACGGTATACATATATCCAATCGATTTGGCAATATATTTTGTTAACCTTGTTTGGATCTATTAGATACGGGCATCAAGGATAACAATCCATGGACAATAACTACACTCCAAGGCGATGAAAACACCATTTGGTTGTAAATAATATTACCGTAAACGAGTATGCACGCACGCCAGCACGCCAGTACAGTAGTAAAAAATCGTCAAGTGGCCACGCTTAATTGATAGTAACAGATCAATACCAGTGGTTAGTATCATGTTCTAGTAGTAGTTGGCAATATGTACTCGTCTACCAACGTGGCTACATCATCAATCAGTTGTAGCAATAATGTGCATATATACACCACGTGATTGGAAGGCAAAGGATGTACTATTTAATATCTACACTACTGTACTACATATTGTCAAGCAAGTCGATTCGAAAATGGAGTGTTCAATCGAATGAGCAGCAAGCACCAAATAGACAATCGATATATCGACCAATCAAACCCCAGATGTCCACTCGAATCAAATCCACTCATCGACCAAATTCAAGATCGAATTAGTGTGACACTGAACGTTTTTTACATACAAAAGTCAGCACAAAGAATCGATCGATAGATTTGGCGAATCAGCATAAAAGTCCAAATTTTGGTAAAAGGACAAGACTAATTTAACCACGAACAATAATCATGTGTTTTATTGCCATTGAAACACCTCCAGTGGCTTTTGTTTTCCTAATTGTAATGTTGAATTCATAATGCTGGAGTATATTCTTGTATTACAGTTGATCGTAGACTCCGATGAGTGGTAACGCGCTGAATAATATATACTCTTGCCGGTAACATCGTTCAAATTAGAGACGCAACCTCCTCCTTCCGTTAACTTTGTTTCAAAGATACTCCAATTTGAAATTCCAAAGGAAGTTATTGGGTTGTGCGTTGTTTCCCCTATAACTATATATCGGTAGACGTTTCCGATTCTGATATCGTCAGAGGTATGATAAGGGATCAATATGAGGGCATAATTCATCGTTTATGTTTGTAGACAGACTTCTACAGTAGTATTTCACATGGTTCTCACAGAGAACAGCAAAGTCTAGTCATGCTCCCGTAGTAATAAAATGATAGGAAACACTTGGATGTTGAGGCCGTCTAACACAAGGCGATGATAATATTATTAAATATAAAATAGTTAAAAAGAATCAAAATAAATAAATGTGTAAGCTAGAGTTGGCTTTAGTCTAGAGTAAGCTCTAGACTACGCAGAAAGCATCATCCCTCGTGTTGTGTAGCTCTGTATAGTAAGTGTAGTGGATAGCCGAATGTGATGATATATATATATATATACATATAGTTTCCATGAATTTAATAATAATATGGCCTCGTGTGGCAATCACCTATGATTTCGACTTTTGGCTTGCCTAGATATTTGTGAAGTTGGAAATTTGTGCTGTGACACACCAAATCCATTCTCTGTCCTAGATGGTATATAATTTTTTATGTGAAATATTTGTGAAGTATTTCGCACTATTTCACATCACACACTAATTCGAGGTTACTTGGGCTTTTGATTATCGGTCGATTGTCTGTCGATTTGGTATTGTCAAGTCGATTCAAAATTGGAGTGGGGTGCTCAATCGAATGAGCAGAATCACCAAATCGGCAGACAATCGATGGACGAATCAAAACCGAGATCAAGTTCATCAAGTAGCCAGTCAAATCAGTCGATTGAGCACCCCACTTCCATATTCGAATAACAACTTCATAATATTGTGGATTCGGTACAAATGTCCAGACGAACCGAATCTCGTCGCCGCCGAGTTGAATCACGAATCATCGACGCTATTGGTTAATAATCCAATTTTGAGTAGATTTGATTGGCTCTTACAGCAAGGACAAGTATATTCAACCAATCAGAACTCCTGCGTGATTCCGTATTGATTGATTAGACAAACCACGCGAATCTTAGAAGTTTATAGCGAACTCACAATAGTATACTACTACTATTAAAATAGTACTTATTTAAACAACATCAGACTGAACTATTGATGCAGCGCGATGGTGTTGAATGAGCCGTGAGAGTTCGTCTGCAACTTGTTCAGCGGACGGTCGCAGCGAAGGATCAAATGCCAAGCAACTCGTGGCCAAGTGGAGGATTTCTGACGGCATCGCCTTGGTAAACTGGGGTTTCAACGACCCTTCCGCCACCTAGTAGTAGGTATTTTTAGTATTACTAAATAGCTTAATTGACGCACCATGAGGGCAATTTTGGCTTCGGGAAAGGTCACATCTGAGTCGATGTCGTCGAGCTCCCCGACGTAGGGCGAGTCTAATTTGTCCATTTCAGACAAGAGCACTCCAAAGCTGTACATGTCTGCCCTTTCAGTGTACTTGCTGCCTTGAAACACCTAGTAATTTATACAAAATTACTATGGATTCATAAAAAACTAATAATATATATAATAATATATGTGTACATAGGTTTACAATCGACCTTGAATTTCTAAACCTGAACTTGAATCACAACAAGATTCATTCAAAGAACAAGTATGCTACAACAGTCGACTTCACTTATCGACGAAATTCAAATATATATATATTTCTACATGCAAACATAACTATAAATTTGAACCTCTATAGCACTCCAACATGTAAACTGGCTCGTAGTATATGGCACACTAGGACGTATGTTTTGACAGCCAAACGTTTACGACTGTCCATTCGTCAATCAGAGATCAACATATATATATATATATATATATATTCATGTAAACGTTCTTCGATCCATATCTATATATATATAATATATTCAAACCCAAAGTCACAACAACACATTATGAACACACGACTATCCATTCGTCAATTAGTTCTATTGACATATATGTATGTATATACACGTATTCATTCATTCATCCATTCCTATCGAAAGCCCACGAAATTGTCCACTTTGACAGCCATCACCTATATATATACATATATATATATATATGCATATATATTCACAAAATACTCTGTACACATATAAATAAATATATATATATATATATATATATATATTAGAACCCCAACATATATATGTTGTAGTGATAATGTAGCATTATTACCTCGGGGGCCATGTACGCAATTGTACCCTTGTTGGCCGTCATAAGCAGAGAAATGCGCCTGGAAATTCCAAAATCGCACAATTTCGCCGTGAACAGTGTATTCAGTACGACGTTTTGCGACTTGATGTCTCGATGCACTACTCGCATCGAGTGTAAATACACGAGCGCTTGGGCTATTTGCAGCGCCATGCTCAGCTTGGACGGACTGGAGGCGACGCGACTGTGAAAGCCAAGTGTGATACTGCTGGTGCCGTTTTGATCTTTGTGATCGCTTTCGTCTGGGGCAACTAGCGGGTACCAGCGCAGCCACTGGTCGTGGGAAGGCAACTGCCGCTGATGCCGCAGGACAGAGTACACATCTCCATTTACCATAAACTCTGTCACAATGGACATGTCTTTTAACGTGAGCCAAGAGATGCCCACGAATTCAACGATCGCGGGATGGTGAAAGTATGCACTCAGTCGGATTTCACGCATGAATTCCTACGAGAATGCACGATATATATAAGGGAGCGTCTGGTAAAAGCTCAAAAGTAAGACTCTATTTTCTGACAACATGGAATTAACCAATAACGTCATTTTCAAAACCAAGTAAAAGGTTCATTTTGTATGGCGTTTATTGGGACCCACTTAACGAGTAAATTCCACTTGGAATTAGTAGATTTGGGTTCAAACTGTTCAACCAGGATATGTTTCAATTCTATCAGATTTATTGAATTCGACCCCAAAATGGCGTTTTGGGCCTGAATATTATAATATATATATCAGGTTGCCAGACACATCCTAATACATACGTATTGGGACATATCGTATAATTTGTTCCTCATGAAATTCCAAGCAGAAGAGTTGGGATTCTTAGATGCGAGTAATGTCGAATCGATTTGAAATAGATGTGCTCAATCGATCGACCAATCAAAACACAGAATATTATTCAAGTGGCCAATCAAATTCTTGCTTCAACCATCGAAATAGGGTGCGACTTGTATGACACGGGACATTCTTTTTTACATACAAACGTCAGTATACATATGGTCGATCGATACAATCGTTGGCAGAAAGCAATAGATTTAAGCACCGTAAAAGTCGTACCTTTGCACCATATAAT